CGGACACATGGAATTGGCATGTTTCAAACATTCCAATTTAATATTCCAGATGTTAATAAACGATGCAACATAAGATTAAGTAAATATAAGCTAGGGACAAAATCGCAGTAGTACAACGTTTAACAAGTAATGCCATTATTACGCAATGTTTGAAAGCGGCATAAGTAGCAAGGAAACCCTGCCCTTGAATTATTAATATAAATATTTAAAAACATATTAAGGTCATTATTTACTTTACCGTGAATCGTATCGGTCTATTGTATCGTAACTTGTATGACTCATTTGAGGCGAAAGGACAGCGTTGGTTCATGACAAAACTGTTCAAATAATTCTTACTATCGTGTGGTAAATGTTTCAAGATATTCTGGTTTTTATGTTAATAACATAGCTATTATATTTGCGTGGCAAGTTCGTAGAATGTTGTTGAATCCTGTCGACTCAATTCATTATCACTTTCTTTTAATAACAATTTCGTTTTCTTGTTATTAGAGTGGTATATATTGCATGTGTCATATGAGTACGTTAAGTTGAAGGAAAAGACATAATATTATTTGTAATGTTTAATTAGAAGTATCAGGACATGAAACATAGAATACTTAATTATATTTACAATATAATTAGGGTAATAACTCTTGTTAGTACCCACCTAACACACCTTTATTTCGTACAAAAGCTTTTATTATAAATAATTAGATAAAAACTAATTTTAAAATGACTATAGAATAAGAATTTATTTCAGGACGCTTGTTTCGTATATACCTAAATTTTAATCCTCTACTAGAAGAGACAGGACAAAATCTGAGAGCTTGAGGTACACATATATAAAAACTGGTTCAACTGGTTGTTAGGATTATCCGCTAGTTTGACCGCAAGACAAGACGTGGCTTATCTGTGATGCAGATCGCTGCAGCGCACTGACTCCGCCTCACTTGACAATGGACGGATGTCCACTATGTTGACATTCGCATGCTGCAGCCGATCGCCGCCATTGCCGCTGTGTATGGCCCGACTGACGTACGATGCATACGAAATCTTAACATGATTTTACAATACAAATGTTTTTTGTTTTTTTTAAATAAGCTCTTGTTTTTACAATGTAAATATTAACGTTATTGTTCTCGAGTACTTTCCCGATATGGTAATAAGCGAATATGTTTCCGCGGTAATCGTGATGATAAGTTATCAGTGGATACATCTGTCACTTGATATGTCAATCAGATGCCTGACCGACGATAACCCTGTCCTGCCAGTGGCTTGGGAATATGGAATGGTATATAATAATATTATTCTAGACACTTCTTTTGTTTATTTCTTACACAAATTACATGCTAATTTAAATCAGACGAATCACGACAACATCGATAAAAAAATTGTAAGATTTGCTTTGAATAGAAAACATTTCAAATTTGCAAAAAAGATAGATGAATGAACGGATGGTTAGTTATTACAAATCTCGATCAAATTTGGGGAAGATGTAGAACATAGTCTGGAAGAAAATTTAGTCTATTAATTAGGTGTTTTTTAATTCCGTCCGGACGGAGTCGCAGACGACCGCTAGTAAGGCAATAAAGAAAGCAATTAGAAACCGGAAAAAAATTGTGCGATAAAATGAATAAGTCTCATCTGTGCAACAGTGATGGACTGGCAGAGTCGGTGCGTTCAGAAACCGCGTTCCGGTGAGCGCACGCGGCAATTAAACCGCATTTTATTGTTCAAGCGATATGAATTAACGCGAACGACTAAATCTCGTTTAAAAAGATACGATCTTTGAGAACAGCAGATGTTGGCATGCAACGGATTTTGGAAAGTGCAACGCCGTAATTTCCGAACGTATTCTTGTAATTTTACACCACAAATATTTTTTTAGAACCTTTAACACTATGAATGGAGAACAGAAAAAATATAAAAAAAATATCGACCGTGTGCATGTTATGTGCTGAACAGTAAAATGTATCTAAATTCCATAAATAATATGAAGAAAGGATGAGACGTGATGTAAACAGCTCATGTGGTGCATAGTGCGTATAATAACTAGGCGGAGAGGAGTTGCCTTGCAATCGATACTAAAGGCGCGATCGTTACTTTGCGTCGAGACAATTTAAGCTGCGATTCCACTGAAGCCAAATCTATAATAGCTCTCAAAGTTTAACCACACAAACTATTTTTTAATAACTAATTGGAAGGAGTTCTATTAAAAACGATACAAAATAGATAGTTTAAGTAATAACAAGCCGTTATTATGTGCATGAGCTTTGGCTTTTTACCGATATTATTATCACAAACACGTAAATCTAATATATAAATCAGTATATCAAGAGTTCACTAATGAACTCGGCAATTAATTTATGAAAAATGGTAAATATCTATATAATAATCTTAAAGCTTTAATAAAAGCCAGTTGCTTTGCTGTTTTAACAATTTCAAAGCACTTGTTCTGTTTTATTATGTTAAAACTACAACGGAATAACACAAAGGAATTCTATTTTTAAAATATCGTTGTAGTTTAAACACAGAGAAAGTAAAGTGATTCTATGTAGGGACAAAGTTCGTTCATGGTTGGTATTTGGGCGTTCGCTCGCGTCTGGCTTCGCCCTTGAAATCGATAAGGACCGGGACGCAGGAATTGCGTCTCTCCCGCTGCTCGCTGCACACAGATCAATGCGACTGCGACGTGGTTTAATAACTCATCTTGACGACTATTTATGTACAAAGCTTTCGTATTACTCTTTTTCGTATGTATGTGTGTTTGTATGACTCAATTCTTCTGTCACATTTTCTAGCCTCCTAAATTAAACCTATTTTGAATGACGATTTGCTTCGTAGGTATTCTTACTATGAGTATAATGCAATGATGATTTTTTATTCCTTGGATCATTATTGAGTATATGACACGAGGATATAATCCAGAGTAAATATATCAGATCTGCTTCCGTCCTCGGTCGCGTCCAGAGGTATGGAATGTTGACATTTGCTCGGCTGAGGTATGCGGGGCTTGGCCTATATCTACCATACTAATAGAGAACTCATTTGGTATTTAAGGTGGGAGGTAAAGGTAAACTACATCGTATGTTGCAACTATAATATGCCTCAATTTTATAAAAATATAGTCTTATTTCCAGACATAATGCAAGATTCTAAGAAAGATGTTTCAAGTTTTTTTTAGTGTACAACGTCTTAGATAAGAGTGCTCGGTACATCATCGTCGTGTCAATTATTTACACGAACACTTTCCAACTCCGGACCAATTCAACATAAAATTACTAAAACGGAAGTTGAACATAAACATAAGAAACCCTTGTTTCTCGCAGCCAGTTGTTTACACTGCCGATGTCGACACGACTGTCTAAACACAACACAAGAGTGAGTGACTTGGAAACTTCACAGATTCAAAAAACCACAAATATCACACCATACAAAACTATGGAACTCAAATCGATCGTTTGTAGAGGTTTCAAGTCCACTCAATTAAAAAGTATTTGAGGGAGCGTTTGAAGTTAAGTATCTAATCTTATAGAGCTTTTGATTAAGTGATTTCTCTGCTATTTCACCCGTAGACACATCGTTCGTTCGTTACATCCTAAGTTTTTTGATCTTCGTTTTTTTTGTACTCAAGATAAATTATTCAAAAAACGTGTTTCAGTGTCACGTCTGTTTCTATGTCTTCTATGCAAATGGAATTCTATTAGATTATTATCTTAGTTGTTAATAAATAATGCTAAAATTGCTGTGTAATGTAAAATGATTCTGTATGTCCGTTACTTTAGCCTCGATATTGTCAGCGTCACGCACGCCGAGCTGCACATCACGGACATCTTCGAAAACGTGATTGAATTCGTTGACACTATCATTTCATCTAAAGGTAATAATTATTTATCACGTCGACAGAAATCACCTTATTTATTCAATTATCTCTCAACAATACCGTAACCTTTTTGAGAAATTATTTTTAGTTGAAAATGTTGCAACTATAAGTAAAAAGGCGTGTACTCGTACGTCGTTTACAGCCTATTGTTATGTTAAAACATTCGTGCTTATGTTTCGAATTATTTCTTTAAGATATTATAAACATTGAATTGATCTGATCTTCAAGACACATGGAAAATGTAAAATTCAAGAATCCGATTCGAAGTCCATAGACTTCCGTTTCTATTGTTTTTAATTGAAACAACAATTTACAGGTTTAAAAAAATATGAAAATGTACGTGCGTGTCAAAAACAAAATGTGCGTATAACCACTTGGTTATACGCACATTTTGTTTTGTGATGATTTTTGTGTCACAATGACTTTCGGCGAGTTATTTGCAAAAATAATTTCATCATATCATATTTAAAAAAAGTTACGATTTTTGTCATTGTCTTTTCTTTATCGTCATATATTTCTATCTACCCCATTTAAAATAAAGATGGTAGATATTCATTATGAAACTATTGATTGCACAATTTCAAATGAGAACTTATTGACAACATGGCGGATCCGAATCTGCAATCAAAGTTTCCCAGACTATTGCTTTATTGTAGATTGTGCTTTATGTTACCTGTAAAAGCTAAATAAGAATATTGTGGAAAGCAGCTAGACGAGCAGTTCTACGTTGTAAACAAAAACAACCAAACATATACATTTTAGATTTCTGATCCTTGGGCTGATACAATGTCAAGAGAACTTATGTCGCATTTAAATTAGAAAAGTAAATAAACCTTTTGATAAAAAATTAAAGTTTTAAATTAAAATAACACGGCGACGATTTAGCCCGTTAGCTGATATGGCGTAGAAAAGTTCAGTGAGCGGTCGGCTAGGGCTGGGATAGGGAGAGGCGAGGCGAGGGTGTAGTACGCAGCTATAGGAGTGTGAGGCACAGAGCCGACGGGACGGGACGGGAGCTGGGAACCGGGGACAATCGATTCGGCGAGCGCTCCCCTGCCGCCACCCGCCTGCCTCTGCCTCACTGCACTGCACGCACTCTCGCTCTTGCCAAAACACAACCATATATAAAAAAACTTACCTCTGCACTTCGCCTATCTCAAACCAAAGAAATGGAGTCGCGAAGATCGCTAAATTACACTGGTGCACTCCGAATATAGTTCCGACTATTAAAAATATTGACACAACGATCGGTTGATTTACACTGATTTATTAAAATCTTATAAAAAACTAAGATTTAAAAAAGACCGGCTGTATTTAGCCTGTGCCTCTACGAATACGCTAATAGCGACGCTACCCCCACGACTGTTCGCGGCGGACTGACCGAAATGAAGATGGCGACGACTGTGCACCCACTCGAGGCGAGTGAAGGCAGCCGCGGACGATCCGTTACTATTTGGACCAATCGCGTCACCCCGTGTTCACCACACGCCAATGACAATGTATGAAGTTGTTAAGTTATTTTTCCCCGTGAAAGTTCAAAACAAGTTCATCTTCGTTCACTTGTGATTTATGTTGTGTGATAAAATTTTAATTCAAGCACCGAGCAACTTAATTAAGCAATTAACAGTTACTGTAGGTCAATACTCCGTCAGTGATGCTTTACAATTTAGCGCTATGACTGACATTGCTATTTGCGCAAACTTAGTTTTACTTTACCTAGACTTAGTTAATAGGCAGTTAGTGTGAATGTATAAGATTTCTATTATACTCGTATATATTATACTTGATATACTTGTATACATCCTAATAGCTTTTAATGCAACTTTGTCCGTAGCAATGTTATTCCACGTTCTGTTCACTTCTAAGGGCTGTCTATACTTTATTCGAAGTGTTAAACATAAAGTTCTTGAAAGTTTACTTGTTTTTATCTTACGTAGCTCACTATAATACATCTGTTGTACATTGTAACGATTAAAAATTCCGCTAAAATGAAAATATAGCGAAAAAAATATAGAAATTTCATATTTACTTATAAATAATAAATATAATTTGGCTCTCTTCATTATTATAGCGGAGCTTTGAGGAGTCATTATTGTCGATGTACTCATGGACAAACGAATAAAAGGCGAGGCTTGTCAACCCTGTGGCGATGTATTGTTAAGTAGCATGGAATCCAGGGTAATCTAATGAACAGTTAACTATTGTAACAACGCACCGAGTGATCGTTTAACTGGCAACATTCGAGTTATGTATCTAAGTTCCGCCTAGAATACAATGTTAGATGTTGCTACAGAAATAAAGAAGCTAAAAATTTCGGCGATACGTTGAAAGGATGAATGAAAGAGTGCATGAAAAAATCTGCATAATAAAACGGTTAGCGTATGTTTTTAATATACGTAATTTAAATAAATAAGAGAAATTTCTACTGAGTGATGGTAAAACATGGCAAAAGTAATTTACGTTTCAAGTAAGAAATTTCACTAATTAGTATAATTTAAATGGAAATCGTAACAATCTAGATAGTGAGATAGAGTTAATAGACGTACTTTGAGTTTAGAAATCAAGTGAACGCGAGCTGCAGTTAAACATTAGCATGAACACATCCATATAACCCTAATCAACAGTTTACACGGGGACTTACAACCATCCAACCGATTTTGATACCTTTTTCTCCGTTTCTTATAAAATGTATTTAAGATTAATTAGAGTTTTGCATGACGAACACAGAGTCACAAAATCTGTACAATTTAAATCAAGTGGTGGTGAAAAAAAGTGTGAAAACGCGAGAGCTGCGATTTTTGTTACGAGCTGTTTAATTTTATCGGCATCGCTTTAAGTTTTCACTTAGAAATGTGTTAAGTTAGCGGTCCAGCTCTCTCCATGTTCAAAACGCAAATTTTATTGGAAGCATAAAAGTCGTTCCATTATGTGCTTACAACGGTTTTCTAAACGCGTTATTTTTGCGCACAACAACACTAAAATATTAAAATTAGTTACGGAACTAGTTGCAAATGTATCTTGAAAATAATTCAAGATATGATACTTGACATCAAACTAAGATTGCATAAATAAGTTATCATATCGTATGATTATAACGGAATATGAATTCATAGAAAGCATTTTATTATTTCACACACAACATACTCTACAAATCCCAAATCTTATTTGTCAATCTATCTCTACACCGGACAATGATCCGAAACAATTACATAGACTTGAGTTTTGTTTTAAGAATTGTGATGTTGTATTTTTTAAGGGTGAATCTATTATTCAAGTAGCGATGTAAGTACATAATTGTAATTTTACAAAATCATAAAGCCCATGTATTCGCCTGGCTGCCAGCAATCACTTCCATAGTTATTTTGATGTTAATCTTCAATGAGAGCAGATTACTAAGATCCAGTGAAAATACGTGAAGCGCTTAGACAAGGTTCGTTAATTCTCACGGAATTCGGAAAGCGGCGCGGCGCGGATGAACATTATTATAATTGATGAAAGCTGTGCGCACGCGCTGGCCCGCCGCGCCGCGCCGAGCCGCGCCGCCTCTGCAGCCACCACTGAACACTGTAACATCAAATATACAGTAATTAAATACATTTTGTTAAATGCTGACATACACCAGATGTGCTTGTAATAAAGACATGAAGATAGTACCAATAAGGAATCAAAACAAATCCGAGTATGCAAACAGGAAACGCCGACATGCGTTATTGTGACCAAGCGACCCACATGTCATGCACCAATGCACACGGTCTGACATTGTGTCGTAACTCAGCAACAATCAATCAGATTGGGTCACGCAGCATTTGTACCACAATTATTCAGTACAAAGTGATACTACTTATTGATGATGATTTAAACTATACAGTGAAAACTTTATAGTTGCGACTCAATTTTAAGTTATTTCAGCGTGGATGTTGAAATTCCAAGCTTTTCCACTGTTTACCAACAGCTCCTAGGGGTACAAAGATACTCTTTTACATAAAGGTACAAACAAAAACAAACTTAGCACGATGACGATGAAAATACGATAAACAGAACAGATTATAAATTATAAAGGTAGTAACGTAGTAACATCAGAAGCGACCTTAAATTACGCGCAGAGAAACTCAATACGACCACAACAAAGTGCGTATACTGTCGAATGAATATCAAATGCATTCTTTATATGTCTAGATAATGAATAAAGATTGATTGGAGCAGCGATTGTCGGCCGACATGGCGGCTGCACGGCGGGAATGCGCGGCGGGAATGCGCGGCGTGCGAAACTGTCATGCGGTATCATCCGCGCCGCTGTCATCATATCGCACTGTCTCAGAAATTATACTGATTTGTGACAATTACGCGCACAGTTATTTCATGCTTGTGGTTTTACTTTGAAACTTTAATTTGTAGTAAGTACAATGTTTCTAAGTTCCTGTAAAACGTCTTTTAACAGTCGACTTTAGCTGTAGTAGAGTCAGCAACCACATCTTTTGCACGATTTGGTCGGGTCAACTGGTGAAATACCACGACCACCCAGAAGACGTGCGTGAAGTTAAAGCACTTCCGCGTTTCCTCTGGTGATTATACGCGCAGAGAGCCTAATTTTTGTTATCTTCACCTTCCGACCCTTTTCTTGCAAGGAAGGGATGTGAAACGATTTCGAGGACGAAGGGACGCTTCGGACATAATCTTTCTGTACGTTCCTTCCTCTGTCGATTAAGGGTAGGCACGCACAATATTCGGAGTAGTTTTGGTTCAATAGCTTAAAACCTGTACATTTACAAATTAAGTTTTCAAAAGTATTCTGGTTTACTTTGATGCCCAGTTTCTGGTTACCAGAGATTAATTTTGTATTTAAAACAACTGAGTAAACCATCAAATGTGAAATAATTAATTTCTAAAAAGTCTAGTAGAAACGCGAGAGGGCTTCAGTGAGCGGAACGGGATCCTAATTAAATTATCTGGAGCGTGAATTGTGCGCGCATTTATGTTTTCTGTTTAAGTTTTAAAATGGTTATTTTATGAGATAAAGAATAGTGGACATAATATAATACCGAACATGCAACGGTGATTGATGCAACACAATTAGAATCACAATATTATTCCAATTAACTATCATAATTTAAATAAAACTTAAGCAATAAAGCTTTCTTATTTTTTAATGTAAATAGCCAAACAGTAAAAAACCACAATGTAAAGATTTGAATACAAATTTATATTTATTCGAGTTTATTCCTGTTGACTATAAAAATGTAAAATCTGACCAGGCAAATAAGAAACCTGACCGTGCCGGGCGTGGTAAAAACCTACGGAACTAACACCATAACAGCAATTTCAAAACAGAAATCAGTTGGCATAGCATGGAGATTGTTGATTTTCGCCGCTCACTAAGTCAAGCTTTTTTTTAGCTTCCTAATCTGGAATTATGCATCATTTTCTGATTTTATTTAATTCCTCCTTTTTAATAATGGCAGCACCAACTTAATAAAGTCAAACGCCAACCAATCGTCAATGTCAGTTTTTTGACACTTGTATTTTGACGTTTAAGTTTGAGGTTATGTTTATTAATCGAAGCGAAAGGTTATTCTATTAATTATTATGCAGTAAAACATACTGTTTTATCATTTGGTACTCACAAAATAGTAAACAAAGGTGGCCATGATACCTATTACTTACCTGCGACTTACCTGTCTTAGCAAAATGGCTTCGACCGCTTTTTATTCAACCTTAACGAAACGAACGATGGCATATAAGAGTGCAATTTCTTTGGAAACTTTATATCCAAATAGTTCATTGAAGCTAACTACGCCGTCATTTGTAAGTTCTTGTTACTAGTGTATTATTTATTTGGAACAATATTAAAAAAATCCTTAACAATTTTATCAAAATATATTTTTTAAATAGTAATGATTTGTTCAATGAGTTGCTTTATTACGGTATTAAAATGTAGTATAACGTATTTTTTATAATTTTTTTCAGACACCAGACCCTAAAGAGAAGTTTTCTGGTTTTATTCCAATGGAAAAGTTGGTCATAACATACAGTGCTAGCTCAGGACCGGGGGGACAAAATGTTAACAAGGTAACCAACATTAATGGTGTTATCTCCTAACATCTCATTTTAATTGAGGTTACTATGTTTTATACAGGATTTTCAGTATTTATTAATAAAATTTTTCAGTATTAGAAATTTACAAATATTTATGCATTTATTATAAGTAACCCAAAGTTTTTATATTTTCCAGGTGCACACAAAAGTAGATCTGAGATTTAAACTAAGTGAAGCAGATTGGTTGCATCCTGACATCAAGGAGAAGTTACTTGAATTGGTATGTCTTGTTAATTTACTTATATGAAAAAATACATTAATCATATTAAAAAAGAATTTTCAACTTTTTCACCAGCATGGTAAAAAGCTGTCTAAGGAGGGGTATTTGATCATCCGGTCGGACACTACTCGCTCTCAACAACTGAACCTGGCGGACTGTCTGCAGAAACTGCGCAACATGATCCGTGATGCTGCTGTCACAAAGCGCGAGCCTGCACCGGAGACACAAGAGAGGATCCGACAGAGGTGAGATAATGCTAGGTTTACACTTACCACATGATGATCACAGATATAATAAAATGTAAAGTAAATTGATCTATAATTTATAATAAAAACTAATGCTAGCTTGATAATCTGTACTATTGTACTATAAAGATGAAAGATTTGATTGTTTGTTTGCATTCAATAGTGTCTAAAACTACTGAAACAATTCAGAAAATACTTTCAATGTTGAGAGGCTACATCTATGGCATAGGTTATATTTTTACTAGATTTTTTCATGTAGTTACTTGCAATTTACTTAGCGGACTAGTACCTTACAAGCTGAATATTGCTGTTTTCTTTTATTTTTTTAATATTGATAGAGATATTAATATAATTTTAATCATTATAAATAAGTATATGCTAGGATATATTGTAATTTATCATATTAAATAGTGGTTTTTTGCGTGTGCAGACACCTGAAGGCAGCGCGGCTGCGCGTGGCTCAGAAGCGTGAGGAGTCTCACCACCGCGAGCTGAGGCGACCGCCGACTGTCGTGGATTTATGATTTTTTTATTAAATTGAGCACACGCTAACCTGCACAATGTCAGCTTATTACTTCAAATGTTTACCAATGATCAATATTGTTTCGTGACGCTTACAATGTTCGAAAGCTATATACAAATTATGAACTTTTCAACCATAGATTTTGTTGAACGGTGAAAATATTTTATTTGTGGTAATAATGCTGACATTGGAGGTGAATCAGGAATGTCTTATGAGGAAAGAGGTCATTGTCTCATTGAATATCCCTCAATCAACATAAAACAGATCCTGTTAACAAATATTTTGTATGCGACAATATTAGATAAACATTTAAAACAACTTGTTTAGATTTTAGTATATTTTTATATTAAATACAAGTGTGGGCAAATAATTATAAAATTGTCGTATACAATGTATTGTTTGTGTGCTCAATTTAATTATCTTTATGTGAACAAACAACCAGCCATTCTGGTTTTTGACATCAGTTTCTCTGTATAAAACATATGATCATCCTCGTCATTATCTTTGACTAAACAGAAATAACAATATGTTTTGATTGGAGACTTTGGTTTCAGAAACCCACGGCTAATCCTACTGTAGCGTGAAAGTAGATTTTATGTGTAATATTATAGATTTGTGATTCTATTCCATCGTTTTATTTATTATCTATAAATCCCTATAGTATAAAATGAATCAATTATGTTATAAAAAAATTATATTGTAAACTATAAGTTTCTTGCGAAAAACTTTTTTAGTATTGATTGTTGTGGCACAAGTGAGTTGTCATAATTTAGTTTGTCTATGCGCACGGTCACATAGCTTTGTCGTTGTATAAAAGATTTTGGCCGCGAAACAGGAAATCAAATTAAAGTGAAACGGAACGTTATTTGCGTTGCCATAGCAATGTTTTGACAACAAAACTGTTTTCCATTCCAGTATTACCAGTTTTTTAATATAGCAAAATGTCTTACAGAGATATCAGGAGTAAGTATTTACTAATTAATTGTATTAAAAATATGATGCAATTATTTCATTACGTAAATAAGAAGTGACATAATGCCATTATTAATCTTTTGCGCCACTGCACTATTGTAAGTTTCTCGTAAACTTTCTGCCTCACTCACACTTACAAGCTTGTGAAATTAATTATTGGAACCTTTTTTGTGCAATGTGTAGACTTTATCGAGGTGATGCGCGTGCTGGGGTACCCGCAGGCGATCTCCATGGAGAGCTTCCGAAGTGCAAACTGGGCGCTGCTGGAGCCGTGCGTGCGCTGGCTGGCCGCGCGGCTCGACCCCGATGTGACGCTCGCCGGCAGCGGGGTCACGCTGGAGGGACGCGTCGCCTTCGTATCACACGCGCTTGAACTCTTCGTTCGTGTCTTTGTTTTATCATCAGACTACAGATCTTTGCAGTCATCGTAACACTAAATAGATATAGATCTCTTGCGTAAAACGCCCGTTATTTATTGATTGTTCAAAAAAGTATGACTGAATAGATTAGCAATGTGTCTGTAATGGTGTTTAAATGATGTAAGGTGAGTTTTTGGGAATTAATAGTTATAAATGTTTGAATGTCAGCACTCCCTCGGCAACGTGAAGCTGAGCGGCAAGCGCGTGTACGGTGCGGATGGGTGGGCGGTGCGCGAGCTGCTGAAGGCGGGCCGGCTGCTGCGCGATGCGCTCCGAGCGCCCCCGCCCGACGACCTGCGCCCGCACAACGCCGTTCTATCGTACGACGTCACCGCCAAGGTCATTTGAACATGCTTATGTTGTTAAAATATCACAACTTGGTTGTTGTGATATTTTATTAATTTTGTAAATGTCATAGTAGTTACAGAAAATACATTAACACAGCAACGTTATAGATAAGCGAGATCAAGCGGGCGCGGTCGCTGGCGACAGAGATCACCGCTCAGGGCGCCTTCCTCTACGACCTGCTGGCTAAGGAGGCCAACAACAAGGTTAGTTACCGTCTAAACAAGCGTACGTAGATAGAATTTGGTTAATTGAGATTAAAAGAAAACTAACACTTGTTGACAGGAGCAGCGCGACGCGGCGCTGTCTCGGCCGCTGGACATGTCGTCGCTGGAGGCGGGGCTGGCGCGCGGGGTGGGCGTGGTCCGCGAGCGCGTTGCGGCGGCGCGTGCGCAGGCGCAGAGTGCGGAGGCAAGCGCAGCCGCGCTAGACGCCAAGCTTGCGCGCCGCCACGCAGACCTGCAGCGCGCTGAGAAACGACTGCACACCGTGCAGAAGATCAAGTTATTTGATAAACTGATTACCAAAAATGCACGAAACGGAGGAAGTGTTGTTTAACATTTCTTTGCACCAGGCCGGCGTACCAGTCTGAGCTGTCGGCGCTGGAGCGGGAGATCGCGGATCTGTGGGAGCAGTACGTGGTGCGCTATCGCTGCGTGGAGGCGCTCAAACACCAGCTCAGCCTACTGGAGCGCGCGCAGGCAGAGGTGAGAGAGCTGCGAGGAGGGTAGGGGTGAGCGGGGGAGACGTCACCGTGTAACC